TATAAGCTAAGCTCCACCGTTAGCCTTCATGTTTACTTCCGCAAACAATGAGCACTTCTTCTTTTTATGGCGGTTGGCAGAACACTGAGAACGCTGACGCTATTGCGCCCTCTAGTGCGCATGCGGGACACTTTCAGGTCGTTTGCCCGTTCACACTGCAGAACGCATACAGGTCGCATTTACTGGCAGTGTGAACGGCCACGGCAAAAAAAATCTGAATTGCCAAAAAATCGGAATTGGGTCACTTCAGGCTGCAGTGTGAACGCACCCTTAGTTTTCCTAACACTCACTAAAGAGCTCCAAAGAGTTAAACAAAAAGCAATCCAGTCCAGTGTTGATTACTAAATTCAACACCATGTTGCACTAGCACCCCCACACCAGCAGGAGGCACACGTGTTCGGGATAGAGAGCTTTATTAGAGAAAGTAGAGTTCCATGTGTAGGAGAGCGATCGTTCAGTTAGTGGTTGTATGTTTTGTTACCGCACTATAAATAAACGTTCAGCTTTCGAAGGAACCTTTGACTGTCTCTTGCTTGCCACACCACACCGCTGTGGACCACGAACGACGTTAACCCTGAAGTCCCCAACCACTTCAGCCTAGGAGCGAGAAGGAGCTCCCCTGTGTTTCTCCCATGAAGCTTGGAGGTTCATCAGGAAAGATTAACAACCAACAGTATCTCAGTTTGGTGTTGATTTAGAAATCAACATGAGACAGTTCCTCCCACAAGTGTAACATGTGACATCATTTCAGGGAAGGGGCTACAGGTAGGGTAGGGGTTGCAGCAGGACCCTGTCCTGGGCCTACAGGGGCCCACATGGGAGGCAGAACATGACTTCAGGGATCCAATTTTTTGTTTTATCATATCTGACAAGAACTGTAAAAGGAGAACCCTCTTCTGTTGAAAACTATGTACGATACCCCAGTAGATTATATAGTAGCACTGCATGCAAAGTGGGATTTTCAACAGCTATTGAGACCTAGTTCTGCCATGCGCATGGAGATTGAGGGCTATCGGCAGGAGGTTTTTATCAGAGTGGATAATTGTAGAGCACTGCCAAAAATGGTCAAAAACGATGTGTGTCCGTGTTCCCCTATCACTCCCCTCCCCTTGGGCTTAGGAGAGGTTTTCGTATTTAAATGAAGTTGCTGGGAGCCATGCAAATGCAAATCAACTGTTGAGCACTGGCCTTTTGACTCTCATTGGCCTGTTGTAGCTAAACCATTTTACCTTCTGTTCACCTGTTTACTAGACCCAGAACTTGGCCAAAACCCCTCAGTGTTATTAATTGAGAAATAATTAGATTTAAGTATAAAATAGGCATTAATGCTGAAAATGTTCTAATGTTACAAAGGCACACAAATGGAACAAATTTAGTGTGACATTCACCATCCAGCACTGAACACATTTAGCTCAACTTAGGGATGTAACCTTAACACTTAAGTGAGCATATCAAAGTACAATTTTCAGGGTAAATCTGATGATATTTTCTCAACATTGCATGTCTGTCAAGCTCATCCAAGATTGTGTGGTGGAATGCTGACCGCTGTACACATTTCCAAGAGAAGTGTTTCTACCAACGTGAAAACACTGAGCTTTACATAAAGCATCAGTTGTGTCATTATGGCAGAGTTAAAATAATTTGCAAATGTAAAATTTTGGTCATTATAGTATCACAGGCTTGGTATTCATGGCATACTAAGTTGATGTTGACTCTTATAAAATTGTCTCCTAATCTGGACTTTGTGATTAAACATTCTCAGTATTTAATCACAAATACTGAAATACTGTGTGAAAAAAGCCTGTATTCCAACATGTACTCCTTCAAATGGGGATGCAAATACATGTCTGTGTTGCAGTGCAATGGGCCAAACAGTTTAACACATTTTGAGATGTCTGTAGGTATTGTTCAGTTATAGAAGTATGCCATGAAGAAGTATGGAGAAAGAATATTAAAACAATAATCTATCTTATCCATTAAAATATATTTTACATGTGTGTTAGGAGCACTGAAAAACTTAGTTTGGTTGAATTGATGATATAAAAGCAGAATATGCATGAATACATACAATAGACTTTTGTTAAACGTGATCTTACTTTGACATTCCTCCCATCTGAAGATTTATCTTGTGATGGGAGGAATTGCACAACTTAATCAAAAATAATAATAAAAAAACATGTTCCAGAGTGATTCATTATACACAAAGTATTTTTGTGAATAATATTCAAACTAATGTTAATGTTCACTGATTGCTTTAAAGACCCAGAGTCATGCTATATTGGAGTGGTAGTGACATCATTCCACATCACAATACAGGACTTAAGAAACTACAGATGAGTTATCAGTATTCAGTTGCTTAACTCTCGAGTTTAAATTTAAGAACAAAATGGTTGAAAGTATGTGATACCTTCTGATAGAGTATCAACATTTGTATTCTTGTTTAAAGTTTTGTTAGTTAAGCACTAAATATAACTCACACATGATGAATCATTCTGTATAAACTAAAAAGGAGACAGCTCAAAGTAGAATTGAGTAAATAAACATCTATACATTTAAAAAATTTTAGCAATTATAATCAAAATAAAATATACTGTCGCGTAAAGTTTGAAAAAAATAACTTTTTAGAATGTATTTTTTTCTGTCAACTGTCATTTAACACCCCAGTCCAGTTGGTGGCAGTAATGCGCTTTCATAGTTGGTCAAACAGCTGCCATTAAACACCAGAGGAAGATTTGCACCGGTGCTAACGAGTGCTACTGCTAAACATGAACGAAAATGCCCGTGCGTTGTGTGAAATGGTGGAAAAAGAAAAAATTTCATGGAATTACTTTTTCAGTATCGTTTTGATATTAAGCATTGTCCCGGCGGAAAACAACAGATGACACCGCGGCGGTCCAACAAGGCCGAACTCACGGTAAGAAAGCTTTTATGAATAGCGAGCACGTGCAGCGAGGCGAGTTGCTTTGTTTCTTACAGAAAGCGGTCTGTCGTTTTCATAATGCCAAAACTGTCATGGTTCGTGTTTCTGTGTATTTATTTTTAGAGTTTTCTGTGTTCAGTTCCTTCCTGAGTCTCTGTCTCTGTGTCTTCCCTGTTGATTGTCTCCCAGGTGTGTCTCGTTCCCTTGATTACCCCATATGTATTGTCTCTGTCTCTTGTCGGGTCCTTGTCTAAGCTTGTCGTATGTCATGTCTTGCCTGTTTCCCTGTGCCGTCGGATGTTCCTTGTGCTGTTCTGTTTCCCGGACATTATTATTAAATTATTAAACACTCGCATATTTGTAAGGAAAATTGATCTTCCGGTTATTTTATTTCTTTTGTTATAATGCAGAACAGCAAGGCATAGTGTGGTAAGCAGTAGAGATCGACAACATGGCGGACGGAGGACGGATATCAGGACGAAGTCATGAAGCCGGTATGTATAATCACTGCGTTGATTCCCGACCGTACAGTGGCTGGTTGAGAATAATTTTAACTTATTTACTTATGTATTTTTGAGAAAGCGATGTATTTGCTACAATATTTTTTTTTATTTATTTTACATTTATTTCCACAGACCCTCAACAGAATGGAAGTCACATTTGTGTTAATCAGAATCTTCAGGAACGTTCTGATGTCCATGATGAGGATGGAGATGCAACTGTGTGTGAGTATCTACTATTTTAGAATGTTGATATTTTATGCTTCAATATTTTTTATGTACTTAATGTAATTGTGCTATGTATTGACAATGCACAAAATGTTTTCCAGCTGCATCCAGGACCTACTGCCAGTCATCCAGATGTAGCTCAAGAAAGAAGCAAGTAAGATCTAGAGATGTCACAATTCCTTGAATGATTAAAGTACTGTGATTTATTAAAATCCATCAAGGCAATTCATCTGCCTCAGAGTCTGTTGAATTATGTTTTATTACCAACTGCTTTTAATTGTTTTTTTCTTCCAATTGTTTCCAAGTGTTTTCTCTTTTTTATTAAAGTTTTTATTTTTTGTAAGAATGTATTGTTTTTTTGTTTTACTTTTAATGTCTTATGTGCGCATACGAAGCTGGAAGTTGCCAAACATTTTCACCGTAGTTTCATAATGACAAATAGATGCCTGTAGCTCGTAATGATTGTCTGTTCTGTGTTAACAGCTGATGGAGGAAGGCAGAGAGGACTGGCAGCAGAGGAGGTGGCATTCTGGGAGGATGGCAGCTATGAGGGGGTGTCAGGATGGACTGTGGTGAGGTTGAGACCCCAAGTTCCCCCAACCAGGAGCTTAGTGACGTCAGGTCTACCTACGCTACCGGAGAGACCTCAGGTCTACCTACGCTACCGGAGAGACCTCTGGTCTACCTACGCTACCGGAGAGACCTCAGGTCTACGCTACAGGAGAGACGTTGAGCCTGTCCTGAATGCAGTATAATGTTGGATCATGTTTGGACAAAAAAACACTGCCAGATGGTCCAGACATGGACAAGCATTAATGTCTTATTTTGTGTGCAAACAGTAAAAAAAAAAAATGAAAAAGAAAAAAAAATTTCTGTGCCTCNCTTGTCTTTTTCTCTCTCCCTCTCTCTTTTTTTGAAAACCTTATTTTATAACTTTTCTTAGCAGCATAGTAACAGCCACAATCGTTTGTGTCTTCCACTGTCTGCTGCCAACAGCGTCACTCCGAGCAGGAAAGAGCCATTTAATGCAGATGGGGGTTCAGGGCAAATATGGATGTGTATTTTTTGGTCTGGGATGGGAACATTAACTTTTTACTGCTAAAAACAATCTTTGAAAATACAATATGATTAATTTTGTATTTGACAGGACCCTGATTTTTTAATTTTATGTCTATGAATAAAATATAAATAAATTGTGGAGGGCCCCCTGCTGGTCAGGGCCCTAAGTATCATCATCACTTTTCATCCCTTTACCGCGCCCCTGGTCAGGTTTCAGTTTGTTTAGGTGAGTTTTGGCTTTTTGTAGTTTATCATCTGTAAAAAAAGTTTGCGTGGCTGCCGCACATTTTCACGTTAGGTAAAATGTTTGCATATATTTACACAAACTTTCACATGACATTCATTTTTATACCTGCCGTCTTGTGCATATAAAATGGGCTGCACATTTTTTGTGCATACACACACTTTATACATGAGGTCCCTGATCTTTTTTCAACTTACGCTGCAATCAAGAGCCGTCTTAAAATTTTCAAAGAAGTAATGTTTCCCAGCTTCTTCTTCTCTCATATTGGTGAATGCTGTTTTAGCTTCATAACCAAACTTCAGAAATTCTTCATGTTCATCAAACAGGATGCAGGTTGGAGTCTTTGGGGTGTCTAGTCCAAGTTCATTACCCCATCTCTTTATCTGGGTCTCACCTCCTTCCTCTCTGGGTTTAGCATTGAAGGCATAGCCACTGAATGCTGAACCAAAGTCTATGGATATGATGAGAGAGTCAGGACCAGCTGGATGGAGGAGAGGAGAAAGTTAGAATATGAAAAAAACAAAAAGTGTTGATCTGACTGAACTGTTTCAATCACAATTAATTATGACTTTATCAAACTTAACCCTTGTGTGTGCGAGAACTAAGCAAACGCAGAGGACTGTGGAAAATTATACAAGTTTTACGTGTGTGGGGTCGGTTGGACCCCATTTCTGGACACAAGGGTTAAGACAATCCATGGCAGTGCATATAAGGTGCTTGTTTAAAACCAGACAATGAAAATCACACATTGAAATTTGAACAAATTACACAAGCTGAACTGGGAATGAATTATATATACAGTTTTTTCTTTGTTGTCACAGTTAAATGTTTCAAATGATCAAACTAATTTCAAAATATTAACCTAATAATCCAAATGAAATATTGTATTTTCAAACAATAATTTTACTTTTGTAGGCAAAACTATTCAAATCAACCAGATCCAATGTGAAACATATTTAACCTGAAACCAGTTCGGTTTCACAAACAACCTTTCAAGGTCCATAATACACACTGAGCTGAGCTCCTGTGAAATCCCTCCCACTGCAGCATCATGGTGTTTCGTCATATGTGTAGTTTACAACAGTAAGCACAGCGATGATGGAAGAGAGGAATAACTATTATGAATAGACCTACTTGGAGGAAAAATGTCTGTCTCAAAGCAATAATCCACCTTCCTGAGTACATCCCTGTAAACACTTACCGTATCAATTTTATTCTAGTAAAACCCAATGTTTCAGCTAAGATACAACACATGAATGAATAGGGGAACTGGTTGACCTTCCATGACCTCTAGAAACATTTCTTAATATCTTTAAAATGATAGAAGCACAAACAAAATGTTTTGCTCCACAAACCAGCACAAATGTAGCACAAACATTTGACACCAATTTTGTCTGATTTGAAGGAGGTGTGGAGCCAACTTGACTCTAGTCTGCTGAACTGCTACTGTGGCTTGTGGGATTTCCCTCGCTGAGCAAAGCGAGATGCAGAAACTCCTTCGTTCCCAGTAACCTCTGTTTCCTTCAGCTGGAGAAATGCTATTTACCTTTACTATTAAAATCTTTCACTGAAGTGGTGCCTGTAATCCCAGCATAACACAGAGCGCAGATTCATCCACCAGATCAGCTTCAACACCCTGAGACATTTGAACAACTGATGCAGACCAGGAAGTTGTGAGATTATATACGTTCAGTTTACATTAGTAGACAAATAGCTCATAATTTAGGTGCTATCATTAATGTTATTGACTATAAGCAATTATCCTTCATTTGGCTTGTTGAATATTATTTAAACCAAAAGAAAATAAAATGCAAATGAATATGTAACTATTATCATTTAGCAATTTACGGGTTAGAATAGATTATGACAGAAAATTTTTGACACTGCATGTTATGACAGGCATGAGAATGTCTAGCACTCCTCTGACAGAAATCAGGAAGACGACGCTTCTCTGTCTCGCCCTCAGAGCCAACACACCAATCAATGGCCAAACCAGCCCTGTCTGGCCGGCCCAATTGGAACCACATCAAGCTGAGTGGGACCGGGCTGCAGCTTTAAAGATTTCTCTCATCACCAAAGGTAGTCAAAAGATAAGTGAAAATATGCAAAAAAATAAATAATAAAAATGGGTATAATAATACATTGCATAGAATGTTTCTGCCTTTCCTATCAGGAAAAAACTGATTAAATGAAGATAATTTGAATCCATATCTTCTAGGAGTAGTAAATATTCTGGGATGAACTATAGATGCTAATTACATTGTTTCTGTTTTTGTTCTTAATTTTATTTTTTGATTGGTACATAATCCATTGATTTTTAAAGTCTCTTATCCTAAGTTCTGTTTGGGCATTTTTTATTTATTTTTCAGAATAGCTTTTTTTTAAATGAATGAAGTGTGACAAAAAAGCCTAAACAGAAGGTGGACTAAAATTACAAAGTGTTTTTCTTGTGATCTGTTTTTCTGTGTAGTTATTTTGAGATTTTCTGTGTTTCCCTGAGTTTCTGTCTTGTCCTCCCTGTTTGATCCCAGCTGTGTCTAGTTTCCTGATTTCCCTCCTCGTGTATTTAAGTCCACCTGTTGTCTTTGTCTGTTGTCGGGTTCTTGTCTAATGTCATTCATTCGTTATCTGTTTGCGTCCAGTGCTTACCTGTGATTTTGAGTTTGTTTTCCTGGTTCTTTATTAAACATCATTTTCATCATGACTACCTGGGTTCACTGGCGTCTTTCTGACCTCCAACCACCGCACACCATGACATTTCTAGTTATATTGACCACTCAAAGTGGCGTAACAATGCATTCACCCATTCTCACTGACATTTAAATATGATACACAGACACTTGGAAGTGCCTTGGCCACAGACACATTATCACTTAGTAAGTGAAAGCTGGAATTCAACCCATAGTAATAAGTAAATTGTGAAACCTACATGTACATCTCTTACCTTTGACATCAAGCAGCACTTGTTTCTTGATCAAGACCTTCCCCCATTTGTTGGAGATGGTGCAGGTGTAGGTGTCTGTATCTCTGTCTGTCGGGTTCTTCAGGATCAAACTGAAGTCTCCATATTTTACATTTCCCTTCATCTCAGTTCGTTTCTTGTACTGCTTGTGCTGCTCTTCAAGCTCTTTGGAAATGGACTCATACATGTGGACTAATCGGCTGGTGTTATTTCTCCATGTTACTATTATGTCTTCAGGGAGACGAACGATGGTTTTACAGGGCAGCGTAACAAACTCCATTCCTGAATCCACCTCCACTTTGTAGACTGAAAAAACACAAACCAAAGAATCAGCTGTTTTGACAGCATACACAGCAAATTCAAAAGTGTTAGATTTCTAGTATAAATGTTGTATGTTAAAAATACAGTGTTAATTCAACAACATGAGTGTTAGTAAGTGTTAGGGTGCGTTCACACTGCAACCTGAAGTAATTCAGATTTTTTTGACGTAATGCGACCTGTGTCCGATCTTTTCATGGCAGTGTGAACAGCACAGGTCGGATTCTTTTACGAATGTGACCCATATCCGATACATATCCGATTCAAATGCAACCTAACGTTCATCCGAACTGAACAAATCTCACTATTCTGTGTCCTGATACGCGCAAGAGGGAAGAAAAACAACAACCATGACGGACTATGAGGATTAAGTTGTTAACATGCTGCTCCGGCCAGACAACAACTTCAAATATATAAGCTAAGCTCCACCGTTAGCCTTCATGTTTACTTCCGCAAACAATGAGCACTTCTTCTTTTTATGGCGGTTGGCAGAACACTGAGAACGCTGACGCTATTGCGCCCTCTAGTGCGCATGCGGGACACTTTCAGGTCGTTTGCCCGTTCACACTGCAGAACGCATACAGGTCGCATTTACTGGCAGTGTGAACGGCCACGGCAAAAAAAATCTGAATTGCCAAAAAATCGGAATTGGGTCACTTCAGGCTGCAGTGTGAACGCACCCTTAGTTTTCCTAACACTCACTAAAGAGCTCCAAAGAGTTAAACAAAAAGCAATCCAGTCCAGTGTTGATTACTAAATTCAACACCATGTTGCACTAGCACCCCCACACCAGCAGGAGGCACACGTGTTCGGGATAGAGAGCTTTATTAGAGAAAGTAGAGTTCCATGTGTAGGAGAGCGATCGTTCAGTTAGTGGTTGTATGTTTTGTTACCGCACTATAAATAAACGTTCAGCTTTCGAAGGAACCTTTGACTGTCTCTTGCTTGCCACACCACACCGCTGTGGACCACGAACGACGTTAACCCTGAAGTCCCCAACCACTTCAGCCTAGGAGCGAGAAGGAGCTCCCCTGTGTTTCTCCCATGAAGCTTGGAGGTTCATCAGGAAAGATTAACAACCAACAGTATCTCAGTTTGGTGTTGATTTAGAAATCAACATGAGACAGTTCCTCCCACAAGTGTAACATGTGACATCATTTCAGGGAAGGGGCTACAGGTAGGGTAGGGGTTGCAGCAGGACCCTGTCCTGGGCCTACAGGGGCCCACATGGGAGGCAGAACATGACTTCAGGGATCCAATTTTTTGTTTTATCATATCTGACAAGAACTGTAAAAGGAGAACCCTCTTCTGTTGAAAACTATGTACGATACCCCAGTAGATTATATAGTAGCACTGCATGCAAAGTGGGATTTTCAACAGCTATTGAGACCTAGTTCTGCCATGCGCATGGAGATTGAGGGCTATCGGCAGGAGGTTTTTATCAGAGTGGATAATTGTAGAGCACTGCCAAAAATGGTCAAAAACGATGTGTGTCCGTGTTCCCCTATCACTCCCCTCCCCTTGGGCTTAGGAGAGGTTTTCGTATTTAAATGAAGTTGCTGGGAGCCATGCAAATGCAAATCAACTGTTGAGCACTGGCCTTTTGACTCTCATTGGCCTGTTGTAGCTAAACCATTTTACCTTCTGTTCACCTGTTTACTAGACCCAGAACTTGGCCAAAACCCCTCAGTGTTATTAATTGAGAAATAATTAGATTTAAGTATAAAATAGGCATTAATGCTGAAAATGTTCTAATGTTACAAAGGCACACAAATGGAACAAATTTAGTGTGACATTCACCATCCAGCACTGAACACATTTAGCTCAACTTAGGGATGTAACCTTAACACTTAAGTGAGCATATCAAAGTACAATTTTCAGGGTAAATCTGATGATATTTTCTCAACATTGCATGTCTGTCAAGCTCATCCAAGATTGTGTGGTGGAATGCTGACCGCTGTACACATTTCCAAGAGAAGTGTTTCTGCCAACGTGAAAACACTGAGCTTTACATAAAGCATCAGTTGTGTCATCATGACAAAGTTCCAGTCATTTGCACATGTAAAATTTTGGTCATTATAGTATCACAGGCTTGGTATTCATGGCATACTAAGTTGATGTTGACTCTTATAAAATTGTCTCCTAATCTGGACTTTGTGATTAAACATTCTCAGTATTTAATCACAAATACTGAAATACTGTGTGAAAAAAGCCTGTATTCCAACATGTACTCCTTCAAATGGGGATGCAAATACATGTCTGTGTTGCAGTGCAATGGGCCAAACAGTTTAACACATTTTGAGATGTCTGTAGGTATTGTTCAGTTATAGAAGTATGCCATGAAGAAGTATGGAGAAAGAATATTAAAACAATAATCTATCTTATCCATTAAAATATATTTTACATGTGTGTTAGGAGCACTGAAAAACTTAGTTTGGTTGAATTGATGATATAAAAGCAGAATATGCATGAATACATACAATAGACTTTTGTTAAACGTGATCTTACTTTGACATTCCTCCCATCTGAAGATTTATCTTGTGATGGGAGGAATTGCACAACTTAATCAAAAATAATAATAAAAAAACATGTTCCAGAGTGATTCATTATACACAAAGTATTTTTGTGAATAATATTCAAACTAATGTTAATGTTCACTGATTGCTTTAAAGACCCAGAGTCATGCTATATTGGAGTGGTAGTGACACCATTCCACATCACAATACAGGACTTAAGAAACTACAGATGATTTATCAGTATTCAGTTGCTTAACTCTTGAGTTTAAATTGAAGAACAAAATGGTTGAAAGTATGTGATACCTTCTGATAGAGTATAAACATTTGTATTCTTTTTTTAAAGTTTGTTAGTTAAGCACTAAATATAACTCACGGATTATGAATCATATTCTGTATAACTAAAAAGGAGACTGCTCAAAGTAGAATTGAGTAAATAAACATCTATACATTTAAAAATGTATAGAGGTCTATTTACGCTGTTTTGTGTTATTTTAAACGCGAAGTGAATCGATCTTTTTTTCAGCTTTAGTCTCGTAAACCTGACAAATAAAAGTCAGTCAAAAAACACAGGTTTCCAACACGTAGTGTGTATTTATAATTTTTCATTTCTGATAAAGGAGGAGGGAAGCTGGCTGATAGCAGGGCACAAAAATAAAGACTTCCTGAAAAGATCAGAGAGTATACTTTTTGCTAAATCCCGTTCCAATGTAAAATATGACAGATTACTGGATTAAGGAAATGTCTAATATGCTATCATAATAATTTTTGAGAATTTGGAAACAGTTGCTTTTTATTTCCCAAAGTTATGGGGAGAGGAGAAGAGAGAATGGATATTTCAGCTGCCTGATAAAATCTGTTCCCCTACAGAAGATGGAAGCTAATTAATTTACTTGCAAGTCCTTTACTGTGTTAATTCCTCTTATTATCAACAAGAAATCCTGCAAGTTTGAAAACATTTGCTCTTTTTTTTTGTTGCCAAAGTTAGGGTGGGGGAACAAAATATCTTAACCACCTGATAAAATCTGTTCCCCCTCTCTAAAATGGAAGCAAATTAATTTACCTGCAAGTCTTTTAATGTGTTAATTCCCCTTATCAACAAGAAATCCTGTGATTTTTATAACATTTGCTCTTTTTTTTGACAAAGTTAGGATGGGGGAACAAAATATTTTAGCTCTTTCAGCCACCTGAAATTATATGTTCCCCCTACATAAAATGGACATGTATAGTGAATTATTTTCTTTGTTACCTAAAATTTGAATCATTAAATAAAGCTGTTTGCAGAAAAAACTCCTAGCAAAAGATGTTGTGGATTTTCCTGTTTCCACTGCAGCGTCTACAGCATGAGGTTGGACATTGCTGTGAGACTTATTCTTAACAGTGGTGATTATAACATTAATATTCTAATTTTGAGTGTTAATGAAAATTTTTATCATGACTGTAATTTGTATGTTTTGATTTAAAAAAATGTACTTAGCCAAAACTTAATACATCAACATGTGAAAACAGTTATTTAACAAAATTGTTTGTTTATAACTTAATAATTTCATTTCCTGTGTGTAAGGTAAATTAATTTGTTTCCATCTTCTGTAGGGGAACAGATTTTATCAGGCATCTGAAATATCCATTCTCTCTTCTCTCCCCATAACTTTGGGAAATAAAAAGCAACTGTTTCCAAATTCTCAAAAATTATTATGATAGCATATTAGACATTTCCTTAATCCAGTAATCTGCCATATATTACATTGGAACGGGATTTAGCAAAAAGTATACACTGATCTTTTCAGGAAGTCTTTATTTTTGTGCCCTGCTATCAGCCAGCTTCCCTCCTCCTTTATCAGAAATGAAAAATTATACACACTACGTGTTGGAAACCTGTGTTTTTTGACTGACTTTTATTTGTCAGGTTTACGAGACTAAAGCTGAAAAAAAGATCGATTCACTTCGCGTTTAAAATAACACAAAACAGCGTATAAGACCTCGTTTATTTATGTACTTATTTTTATTTTGATAGCTGCCGATTAAACTGAAAGTTACAACATTGACATGATTATATGAGTAGTTTTTACCGAGAAATCGATCAGAAGCGCCGTGAAAATGGTCAGATCCGCCTGATCCACCTCTCTGGCTGCAATGCGCGCTCCCGACACAGGGGGAACAGATTTTCACAGGAGAACAGAATTTCGCACAAGACCGGCATGTATTAAGTGCAGTCACTGCGTTGATTCCCGACTGTATAGTGGCTGGTTGAGAAAAATTTTAACTTATTTACTTATGTATTTTTGAGAAAGCGATATATTTGCTACAATATATTTTTTTATTTTACATTTATTTCCACAGACCCTCCACAGAATGGGAGTCACATTTGTGTTAATCAGAATCTTCAGGAACGTTCTGATGTCCATGATGAGGATGGAGATGCAACTGTGTGTGAGTATCTACTATTTTAGAATGTTGATATTTTATGCTTCAATA